GGTGTGAGACGACATGTTTGATTGCGTCGAGATTAAATAAATTAATGTTAATTAAGTCTTTATACTTACTCAGCACCCTCTGCCAAATTTCAATTCTATTCCAAATTATTTTCGTTCATTCTCCGGTTAATAGGTTTTGATATTCTATCTATATAGTGACCTTATGGTTATCGTTATACATAGGATATCCATGGATATCTTTAAGGTCCCGGAAATTCTGTATATCAGTCATATGTCGAACGTGCGTTGGATACACCATGGACGTGGGGGATAGCTAATGGATATACAGTATTAGATTTAAGTCAATGCTTGGAAAGCACTGGGGTGATCTAACTTTTTTTTATATCGAAGCAGCCGCGCAGGCAGAAGCCCAAATGCCGGAACACCGCGGCGGCCATGATGATCCCAAAGAAATTTTATTAATACGATTTTTCAACTGCCTAAGGTTAATAGAACTGGGAAAAGCTTCCTCTTGTAGATTGTTCCACAATCTTGATACCCTCGGGACAAAGGAGCGGTCGTATCGCGACGGCATCATGGAAGAGAGCTCTGAGGAGCAAAGCCCGTTGGTGTAACGGTAGAAAAGAGCCAGATCGCCGACAGCCCGCCGGTGCGAAAGAGTCCCGAGACTGTCTGTTAGAGAAGAGTCATCGATCAGTCGGACCGCCCTCCTCTGGACAGCATCGAGCATGGATAATGTAGTCGGGGCGGCAGCACCCCAAACGTGTGAGCAATACTCGAGGCTAGGCCTTATCTGGACCTTGTATAGAGTGAGGTCATGCGGAGAAAATTACTTCTTAGCCCTAAACAAATAGCCTAGCTTTTTCCCAGCAGCTGCAGCTATTGACGAGGTGTGTTCGTGCCAGATTAGGTCCTCTATGATCTGGACTCCGACCAGCCGAAATGAATGGCTCTTTGGCAGAACTCGACCATCCATCGAAACCGGGTGAGCGCAGGGACGCTTTATGTTCGTCAAAGTACAGTACTGCGTTTTGCAAGCATTGAACTGTACAAGATTGTTGCGTCCCCAAGCAGTGATAGCCTCCAGGTCTCTTGTCAGAGAGGAAGTCATCGCTAGTCTTCTTTTTCCAACTCAGCGGCAGAGATCGTCTTGTCACTCTGAATTCCTGCATGAAGACTGCTGTCATCAGCGGAGCTGTGGATTTGGTTGATCGTGCAGGAAACGAGGTCGTGACTGACTTCATTTCTACTTTCTACCCTACTGGAGATTAGACATGCTTCATGCTCATATACCCTCATGTATTTGCCATTTCTAGCAATATTTTCAGCGATTGGAGAGCATAAGATTGTCACTCAGGAACCTAGGTCTCGGTAGCGGTGTCGCCTTGGGGTTGCTATCGAATATATATCTTTATAATTCAACTTTTAAGGGCAAATGTACGGGAAAATCTATGATGTATGAAATATATCTAGGGGGTACTCTCCTGCACCCCCTACAATCCCCGAAATCCAATTTTTTACCCATGTAAAAATGCTTCCTCGCCAATGGCGTAGGAAGTGAAACTATTTGGGAAGATCCAGGTACAGACCTTTCACAGTACCTGAAAAACTATGAACTCACCAGTAAGTGGTAGGATCGCTTGCATTTGAGGTAAATACCTAAATAAGGTAGTTGGTGTTATTAAAGCTTAATACTAAAAAATGTTAAATTAAGGTCTATACGTGGGGGATTCGTCAAAGTTTAGTATCCTGTTTAGAACCATCTTTAGCATTTTTATTATGTCATCAAATTGATAACAATATATCAGAAAGCTCGGACATACGTACACTTGCCTACTCATAAAAATTGAGAATCATGATTTTAGCCACATTCGACTGATTGTTAGATCCGGAAAGAAAAAAGTCTCCTCCAGATCTGACGATATGGTATCATGGTATCATCCTTGTGCTACCTTACCAACACAAATATGCGGGTCACGGATCGCCTAGCCGTGGCCATGCCGATGATGACGTCACGACTGAAACTGACCGCTTGAGCCCTATAACATTCTAAAATTCAATTATATTGTAAAAAAAAACTTTTAGCAAACATAGAGTTTTATTTGACAATGTAATAGATACATAATATACACGGACTTAGAAAATACTCGAAGTGTAGAAAAAGTGACCCTTTATTTAATCGAGAGTGTAGCCTAAAATATTCGGGAAACTTGGGCGACAAATCGCCCAACCTAACATCTAGCATCCACGGAATGAGCGAAAGGCTATCATTAAGAAACTTCTGATCCTCATAGTCTGTTAGACGTAATAGTCACTCATATTTTACTACGTTTGCGGTTAAAATAGAAATACGATTATTACTTTTCCATCTAGTTGAGCTTTTAGAATGGATAACTTCTTTTTACTTCTCGCGCCACCGGCAATGAAGTGCTGTAATCTCCAAAAAATGGCAAATGAGACAGTATGTTTTTTAGATGCTGTATGACATGTACATCACGGAAAACGATGTCATACATTTTCGTCGGACTATTTATCTTTCTATCCGCTGATACTTGCCCTGTCTAGAACTTGGAAAGTACCACACCAGTTATTGATAGTCGCGCCAGCTACAGCGCAGCTAAAGGCAAAAAACAAATGAGTAAAAGCCGCTCAAACTTCGTTTTGTGGTGTTTCAGGCTCCTGATCATTTTGACGTTTTTTTTTGCGATGAAAGTTTATCTCAGTTCCAACGTTCCAACCCCGATATATTTTTGCTTATTTGACACATCATAGGTTTAAGCCGTACATTTGCCCTTAAAATGAAATACTGGATATACCTACGTCGCAGTGACCAATGGGTGGCTGCCGTGGTTGGCTTAGTCATAACAACGTTCCCAGATGGTCGCTACTGTCGGTATGGCATTGAAGCTTCTAGATCGCAACATTGTCAAAGGTTCGGCTGACTTGATCCATTCAATTGATGACAGCATTGCGTGAGAATCAATATACTTGCCGCCATTTTTAGCATGTTAACTAAAACTTGAAGAGGCACAACATATTTATTCTCAGAAAACCTTCAGCTTGTTCAGTTCAACAGGAGCGCACTGGCCCTATAACATTAATACACAAGGCTCAAGATTTATCTATACCTCAAAATATGTTTTGGGTTTCAGAAATGTATTATTTCTTTGATGCAAATAAATATTATTTTTCATTATGTTTAATAATGGTAGACCAGTGGTATCTTCGTTTAGCCGTTCTTATATGAACGTTTACTGTTACACAGTTAGATCAGTTGTGATACTGTTGAAACATGTTTCATAAATGAATGTTCTTTATATGTCGATGTCAACAATTATCGAACCGAACGGGATTTTTGGAGACGCTATCGTGAGGAAACTAAATAAATATTTAATAAATAGCAGTTTTCAGCACCAAAATTGATAGAAGTGGTATAAAAATTAAAGGCACAGTGGTTTTAATATAGTCCATATTTTTCAGATGAACATCAGACTTTCCATAAATTCACGTTTATTTCATTATTCATGGCGTAAAAAATGAACATCAAGCAGTTGCAAGCCAAACCAAACCCTCTATCCGCACTTATGCGTTTGAGAAGATATGTTGAGGTTTTCATGCAGTAGGAGCATCTTTTTTCTCATTGAAACTATAATGTGAGGCACATTGTTGAACAGCAGTTGAAATACAAGTACCTTTGTAGGTCAGCTTAAGAAAAGACATTTTTAGTTTATACGCCTTTCCTTTGTCGATGCGTCGCACTTCTTTCCCACTTGTCACCGGCAAATGGAAAAGGTGTGCTAGGGGTTAGGGGCCTTTATTGAAGGAACTGTGACAGTATTTTTAGGGAAACAGATTACGAACTATATTCTTAGACCAAATAATAACTGGGTTATAAATAATTTGTAGGACGCGATGAATGTCATCATCTAACGTTTATAACATTTCTACGCCGCTGGTAATCTCACATGGTCATTATAGAACGTCAAGCGTTGGTATCCGATGAATCCGGTCTTTCGACTTGCTTTGTTCGTAAATGGATGACGACGGATCAATTATTATAACCTACTTCAAATCAAAGAGAAGCTGGTTGATGGCTGCTAATTACTTAATACAGATATCTCTTAAGGAAAATGATCGAGGAGAATAAGAGAGAACGATGTGAGAATAGGAATATAGAAGGCTATGGTAAAATCTGGTTTTGAGTTTTAGCCGATACAAATGAGGATGCAGCTTACATAACCTTCGTAAAAAATCGAACTAATTGGAGTGAATCAGTACTTCTTTGTGCTTTTCATACAAAAATACGATATTATCTTATCTTCGACTGAAGAATTTAGAATGTAGTGTTCCGATATGAAAAACACAATTCTGCAATAATTATGTGTCATAGGGGGCCGTTCAAGTATTACGTAAGCAGATTTATTACAATTATTTACCCCCCATCCCCCTTGTCAGCAAAAGTAAGCAAAGCTCCTCCCCCCATGCTTACGTAAACATTTGTCAATTAATGTATTGTTTTTTTTTTTATTATAATTATAACGTTATAATTATAATTTGAAAAATAAGAAAATAGATTTAGGATAGAGATTATATTTTACTGATACGGTATTCAACATAAAGTAAAGGACAAAAATAGTATATCTTCCTAACATAACAAACTTATTTTAAATTTTTGGTACATATATTAAATTCAAATTAACAGTCATCAGTCCATGAAACCCGAATCCATGATTTAAGTTTTCGATGACATCTTATTGCTTCGATTGCTGCTCAGTGTTGTGAGTTTGCTCGCATTTATCGGATTTTGGAATGTCTACGTCGTTCTCATCGAGCCATTTAACATCATGGCGCTCTAAATTTTGAATAATGCAAATCAGTTCCTTAGCACGACGAGCAGCGACTCTTACAGTTCTAAGTTTCCTATCAGTGTGCGTGCTTACTTTTTTATGGATATGTTCGATGTGACGATTTAGTGACTTGACGGAAGCATGATAAAGACCACACGTTTTCCATGTTCGACTTGATAGCCTCAATTTTACCGTCGGACAAAAATAATCGTAGGGCATTTGCAGGAAATATTTGAGTGAAGCATTTAAGCGTAGAGCTAAATTGACTGGAAGATTAAGAAATTGCCGTCCTTCATCCAAAACCGAGTCATCAACTGTTTGTTTCACTTTTACAGGTGGTGGAAGAAACCTATTGTCCAGTAATCTAAATAGGCCACTTCTTGGACGACAGCATTCTGTATTTCTACATTTTACAATTTGAAGCAAGTATTGGCTCTCACGCACATGTTCTGCATACCATTTAATGTCTGGAAAATCAGGAAGATCTTGTTCACCTGCCCCAACATATTTTGGATTAACATTATAGCCATCAATTTCCATTGAACTCCATACTTCAGCTAATACATTTCCTGCAAATTCGAAATTAGATCTTTCTAAATGTTCATCAATTGTAACGCCACGTTCATCCAAATAAGAGCCAAAATGGTCATGAGGCAATATTAAACCTGCCAGTTCCCGACTAAGAGGAGCCATTCTGCGCTCTACTCTGTTATAAGCACTTCTTCCAGGAGCATTGGTAGCTAAAAACAATGCATCGAGATCATGTCGCTTAAAGTGTTGTATGACTTTTTGATAACGTGGATTTTCATCTGGCTCTCCATCAACCGTCATGATTACAACTGGTTTTACTAGTCCATGGTCAGCTTTAGCTAATGGTCGAAACTCTTTAAGTTCGAGAAGCGTCTCGAAATCCTGAGCATGAGTATTAGCAATAGATGAACTATGCTTTAAACTTCGAATAGCGATGTATGTTGGTCCAGAATATCCAACGGCTTGCGGTTGTCCTAGCATATTGGAAGTGATTTTGATACCAGCATAAACAGATGGTATTAATTTATGACGCTCAGCGATTACCCAATCGTGATCAGGCAATTTGATTCTATATTCCATGTGCATTAGAAGAGGTGCAGATGTAATAACAAAATTGGGGAATGCTTGATACTCTTTGTTTATTGCTCATAATTCTGCCGCCACTGCGCTATTTAGGGTAATGTAGTATTACCTACAACCATAGATTGACTTTATACTTCCCTCACCTTCTAGTACAATATTTGCAACTTCGTGGCGCATGCCTAGATATGCGACGTGTGTGCTAAAAATATGTTTGTTATTGCCAGGACTGGGACGGTCTTAATATGCTAACTTAAAAAAATTGAGATGTACCCTCACCTACCATCTATTTCCCAATTTTTAACCCGAATAATTTTTATCTCAAAATAATGAGGAGCCTCTGAAACGTCAAGAAAACGAGATTTGTCTGATTTTTATTTTTGCATTTTTTGTCCCTCACTGCTTCTCCACTGGACCGATTTTCAAAAACAATAACGCTTTTTTATCCTTGGCATAGTAGTCGTCTTGTGTGAGAATGCTATTTTTTTATATCCTGTCATAACAACTGATCTATAGGCCTATCCCATACTGGACCTGCTCGATCAATCAATATTATATCTACTGATCTATCCATCAATGTATGCTTGTAAATAATCAGTTTCGTAGATGTTGCTTATGTCTTATATTGTTTAATTTTTATTGAAAGTTTGCCTTGCCATGTGATGTAGAGGAATGCGTTGTTTGATGAAATGTCGCCTCAGTTTCTACGCAGTCCCCGGGAAGTAATATTATGACCACAGTATATAAACCTACTTTCCAATAAAATGACTCTTGCTAATATTTGAGGGTTTTGCGCGTACACACGGCAGCACATATACCAAGCACACAGAGAACTAACATAACCTGAGCTATCGACGTGCTTTCTTCAGCCAGAAGCAGTGACAGACAGAGCGGTACAGGGTCGGACTGTGTTTTCAGTACTGTTAACTGCGTTGTCCTGTGCATTGGTCACCATTCAATATTATGTATGAAACAAGTTTGTGAATCATTCTTTTAAGCTTTAAAGTGACTTCACAGAAGAAGCTACGAGATACTCTATTTTTACTGCTCGGATTCTACTACAATTTTAATACAAAGCTACTACTATGCCTATTACATTCTTTCTTCAATGGTGCTCAAGGAACAAGTAAAAAGGTAAAATTTGAGAACGTCAGCAAACTTAATTTTTAGAAGCTTTCGAAGTTGCTGATTATTCTTGGACGCCTACTTTCTGGTTATTTCAGGCCATAATAAAAATATGCGTTCTTAAAAAAAATTTAAACCATGGATGTCGTCTATGGTTGCATATACCGGGTGTTTTAAATTCGACCCTCACCATTGAGATCTCGGAAACGGTAAGCGATACGAAGTCGGTTAAATGCAGGCAAAACTGTGTATTTGAGTAACTAACTAAATGCTGCTTAGAAAGTTTTGAAATACAAAACACTTCCGGAGAGAGCTGGAAGACCCAAATTTTCCCAAAATCTTTTTTAATTTTAACCTGACTTTGTAGTGGAATTTTAAAATAAATTCCACAATAACATTGTAACTTTTTCTCCTCTACAACATGATAGATTAGAATTTCAATATGACTTTTCCTCTCGTTCTCCAGCTGTAGGGGTATTTTCCAACTAGTCTTCTAAGAAGACCCTATTTTTGTTTGGTACCGTTTATTTTTTCTTAAGTGGACTGTATCTACATTGTAATGATATGGTTACAAATATGTGTGTGTCTTGCTCGACAGTCCGCGGAGAAGTCCTTTTTCGCGGCGTTGCTTCTCGGCAGTCGTGACGTCAGCGTGACTGCCAGTTGCGGAGGCGAGGGTTACAAAATGCTTGTACACCAGCATCAACTTGGTTTTATTTTCTTTAATGGACGCCATATTGAATTTTTGCACAGATAAATAGAGTATTATGATTGTAAAGATATTTATGTCACGTCACGTTTGATTGTAATAATATATTCACAGTAGTATTTAAATGTACATGATTGCAATATAGCGTCCATATGGAAAAACAACGTTGGTGATGGAAGCCGAAAGAACAAACTTCGAATAGAATATTTGACTTTGCCATCTTGTAAAGGAGCAATGACAATATGCAATTTATTTTGAAATCCCATCTCAAATAGCGTCAACAAAAAATAAAAATGGTCTTACGATAAATCTGGTATACGAAACAAGTGACTATCTGATAACATCAAGGCTAACCTATGGAAATTATGTTTCCTTGAAATAACTTATGTTTGGCAATGTCAATGTATGGCACATTATACATTCTTAGAATCAGAATTAAAAACTCTATTCATCTGTGCAAAAATCCAAAATGGCGCCCCAATGAACAAATAAAGTTGAGCCCCGGAGGACAATAGAGGAAGCGTGATATTGAAATTCAGATTATGCCATCTTGTAGAGGAGAAAAAGCGGCAATGTTAATATGGAATTTATTTCCAAATCCCACTTCAAATAAAGTCAGGAGATAATTAAAACGATTATTGGAAAATTCGTTTTTATCCGCTTACTCCGGTAGCACCTTGAATTTCTAAAGTTTCTAAGTGGCGTTTTGTTAGTTTCCTAAATACGCAATTTTGTCCCAATTTAAGCGACTTCGTATCCACCATATATGCCACGTAATGTCTTTTGATGCGAATTCTTCTTTCTGGTTAACTATATTTCATGTCCAGCAATTTTCACAATTTCTTCCACACAGGAAACCATTAACTTTGGAATATTTTGCTATTTTTATTAGAGCCTTCACGTTTAATAGCAAAAACAATTTCTGATACTCTGTACTCTGTACACTGTACAGGTATCGCAACAATTCAAGCTACTTGAATAATGCGTACTCGTCTTTGGAGTGGTTACGTGAGGTGAGAACCTACGAAAAAATCCAGAATAATACTTGCCGCAGCTTTCACTAATAGAATTAGCATAAAAGATGAAGGTGTGGGTACGTTTTGCGATGCAATGCAGCGCGCTGGTTTTCGAGAGGAGCCGGTTCAAACATCGCTATCTTGTCTGCATTCTACCTACCACGCTAGCAGAGTCGGTGAATGAGATTGATGAGACCATAAATAATTTATATATGTAGGTACTTGCAACTGATCATGTTTGGTACTATCATTTTTACATCATTGGAGTTAAATAAGTAAGTACAGTAAACCTTGGAAGTGAAACAAATACAAATAAACAGGATCAGTGCCGGACTAAGCCCGTCTGCGGCCCGGGGCGGCAAAGCTAAATAAGGTCCCCAGTAAAACATTTCAACGTAAAAGTGTGTATGGACTTACATACTTATAATGTAGATATGGTTAATGAAATACGATCAAGCAATAGACAAGTTATATCAAATATAAGTTCACTATGCTTTTAATTTTGTCGAAGACATTTAGCGCTATTGTTTGTCAATCTAGAGCAGTAAAGGTAAATCTGGCAATTCAAATGACTCATAAGCAAACATCAATTTTTAGTGCAGACTATGAACAATGAAACGTAGTTAATGCAAAAAGATTAATGCATATCATAATTGTGATTACCCATAATATCTACAATTTAGGATCAAATCTGTATTTCTCAATCGCTAACATATCGAATATAATAAATAGTATTAGCGCAATTTGAACATGGAATAAGTTACCATTTAGTGAGAATATATTATGTTGAGTAAACAAAGCTTTGCGATAGAATTTATCCGATTTAGTATTCTATAAAAATCTTAGATATATGTTTTATGCATGAATAAAACCATATATAACACCGATCTTGTATAAATCACATAAAAGGAAATAGTCCTGAAAGGATCTGGTTGCAGTGCAACATTCGTACGAATGCTAATGTCCATGGATACACATACCGACAGTTGCTCCTGTAATTTCTACATAGACGCGTTCTTTCTAGACTGAAGCTGATTAAGAGGCTACTTGATATCCAATTCTTGGAATTTTTTGGTATTTTGTAATGCTCTGAAACGCCTTTGTATGCAATTAGTCAATTAAGATGTCTTACATGCTATACGCTGCACCATAAGGAAACTTTCGCATAATGAAAAAGGCAAGTAACTTTAAGACGGTGCTCGAAACCAATAAAGCTTCGGATCTTGACATGATCACTATGTTGAATATATCCAGAAGTCTTATAATACAAATACTTTTAAAAGCGGCTAGCAATTTGTCTGTGTTCCTCATAACACCTTTTCTTGTGTTAGAGTTTTTAAGATGTGGCATACCCTTCAAAGTACTTCAGTTATTCGCGACATCAGTGGCGTAGAAATGTTCAACACCTTGTACCTTGGTAATGGGCTATTGTAGGACCTATGTTTAAAAAACTTACATGTTATTCATGCAATTTTTGCTCTGAAAATACTGACGGTGTTATCAGAATCAACATGTATTGATGTTTCAATCAGGGTAGCTTGATATTTTTAGTAACTACTTCACGTGACTTGAAAATAAAA